TCTCCTGCACCCGATGCGGTTCGCCCAGATCTTGATCGGCGACTTCAACATTTCGGATGCTACCGCTGATCGCTCCACTGCTGTGTCTGGGCTACCTCAGCAGCCGAGTCGCTCACAGAGGACCTCCCCACTCGTGGACCCCTCCCCACCTTCGCCCTCCAGCGCGAGGCCACTCTCCAGCGCGCGGCCTCCGAATGGAGTCGAGCCGCCTGAGAGTGTCGAGCCGCCTGAGGACGTCGGCCCCCCCACGGGAGATAATGGGTTGGGAGCGTCCACGCGGACATCCACGTGCACTGGGTCTTCGGCGGCAGATACTGGTCAGCCCTGCCCGGCGCCGTCTGCGAGGCGTTCGGCGGCCCCCCGAGGAAGGGAGGGCCGGCCTGGGGACTCGCTCTGGCGCCAGATCTGGAGGGGCACGACGGAGATGGAGATCGATCGGCCCACGAACTGGCATCAAGGGGCCCAGTCGGCCAACCGAGTGGATCGTGCGTTTGTGGCTTGCCCTCCCTGGCTGCTGGTCCAGTTCCACCAGTCGATGCACGTCTGCGGTGAACCTGAGGAGTACCACCGCCAGCGCATCAGCGACCATGTCCCGATTGTGCTCACGTTCGCATCGTGCAAGCCCTCGAAACGTGATCGCCCGATCCCCCGGAGCATCTGCAAGGGCCCACTCTTTGCCAAGTTGGTTGCGGAATACGAGAAATTGTGCGGGATCCAGTCCATCATGTCCCCTGTTGAGAAGCTGTGGGTGGCCACGAAATGTCGACAGATTGCAGGCCGCCTCACTCGCAACCACCAGCTGCAGCGCATCTCGAATGTCAAGGCGCAGAGGGCGATGATCGCGAGGAGCGTGGCTCGGGCGGTGCGGCGGTCTGATATGGCCTTGGCTCGCACACTTCTGGCTCGACATGCGTGGACGTCGAAGTTCCTGCACATCAAGGACGGGGTGGTCACACTCCTGAATGCGGGCGGCTTTCGTGATCTCCACTCTGACCTACAGCGGCAGGAAGCGCAGGAGCGGGCGTCTGCGCTCCAGCGTGCGCAAGCTGCTGCCGATCGGCCCGCTGATGTCCGTCGTCTCGCCGCACAACGCCGTGCTGCGCAGCGGCGCGCCCGACTGTGGTCACCCTTCGGGCGTCGACGGTGCATGGCGGGAGTCTATCTTCCTGAAGGTGACCAGCGTGCCGAGGACGTGGTCACCCACACGCTGCAGGAGAGGAACTGCGCCCTCGGCAAGCACTGGGCGAAGATCTTCCAGCGCGACCCACCGCTGCACCAGGCGGCGGAGAAATATGCATCTCGCTTCCGCTCTGAGTTCGACTCGTCTGACATCCCCCCGCCTTGCACCCGTCACCTCACCTCCTTCCTCGGCGAGGTCCTGGAGGCGGCCCCTGGCCCTGATGGGCCCCCCTACTGCGCGTGGTCCGTGGGTGCAGGACCTGGGGCCATCATGGAGATGCTCTACCACGCGTGCTCTGGTGGGGGGGGTCCGTCTTGGTTTGGAGCTTCCCTGGGCGTCTTCCTCCCGAAGGACCTCTCGGCCGATGAGGAAATCCCTGGGGCCAGGATCGTTCGCCGCTGCAACGACACGCGGCCCCTGGGCCTGAAGAATACGTCCAATAAGCTGGCGGGCTCACTCCTGAACTTCGGGATCCGCCCGTGGGTCAAGAAAGCGGGGGCTTCCATCCAGAGGGGCGTCCTCCAGGGTCGACAGCATCTTGAAAACGTCCTGGACCTCGACACATTCACTAGGATCGCCAGCTGGGGTTACTCGGAGTCGGACCCGTTCGAGCCCCTCCTCGTCGCATTCGACTTCGCCCAGGCCTTCCCCTCCGTGTCCCAGCGCTGGGTCTGCCTGAACGTCGGCCTCGCTTTGGTGCCCCGTGGGTTTCAGGTGAGTGTCCAGACCCTGTACTGCCTCAACCCGTGCTTCACGGCCTCCTCGGGCTCTTGGGACCTCCTCTACTGGATCCTCTCAGGCGTGGTTCAGGGGTGCCCGCTGCCTGGAACGATGTATGTGATCGCCTCGAACCCCTTCTACCTCGACATGGAAATGTCGGTGCAGCGTCGGTTCCACGGCGTAGTGAGGTGCTGCGCTGACGATGTGGGAGGTCTGATCCGCTCCGCGAAGGGCCTCAGGGAGATGGTGGGAACCTTTAGATGGGCTGAGCTGCTGGCAGGTCTCATTCTAAAATCACGGAAGTGTAAGGCTGTCCCTCTCGGCGGCCCTTTTTCGGAGACCCGTTAAGCTCGAGCTTTGGAACAGCTTTGTAGGGCGTCCCCTGAGTGGGGCTCTTTTCAGGTCGCCGACTCGCTCCTCTATTTAGGCTTTGTCTTGGGCCCTGGGGCCTCGCTTGCTTCTAATTGGGATGCGCCGTGGGCTAAGATGAGCTCCCGGGTTCGGGAGCTCGCGAAGACTGGTGCCGATGCTGCATCTCTCCTCCGCCTCCACGCCACCAGAGTGGCCCCATGCGCGTCGTACATAGCTCAGTTCCCCCCCCTCCCATAGGCCCTCGGCCGCGCTGAACGCTTCTGGTTTTCGAGATATTGGAGATGTGCTGCTTCGGCCATGGGAATGTCAGACTGGCTCAGCCTCGAGGCCATCGGTGGCCCGAAAATTTCGGCCCTGGTTGCAACGTGTGCCGCAGCTCGGATGCGGTGCGCGCTCGTCACACTTCCGCGTTCCTGGCAGCCACTCTTGCGTCGTCTCCGACATGCGGCGGAGCACCACGGACCCCTCTCCGCCCTGGACTCCTCCTCCCTGTCCCTCAGCCCCTCATTCTGGAAGATGGATGCCATTGCCGCCCTGGTGGGCCACGCCGCCGAGGGCTTCCCTGGGACCCAGCGACCGCGTGTGAGGGGTGGGCCGTCCTGGGAGGCGGGTGGGCGTGAGGCTTTGCGGCTTTTCGGTGCTGGATCCCTGGGAAATCGTCCGAAATGGCAGCGTGTGTTCGGCTCCATACTTCAAAAACAAGTTTTTGACTGCACGATCTTTGTGACGCTTGAACGTCGCCTCCAGAAGTGGCACGGGGAGCCCCCCCCGTCGTTCGAAGAGGGGGGGTGGGAGCGGTTACAAGCGCTGCTCGCCTCCCTCCCTGGGGCCTGGAGAATCTGCCTGCTTAAGACGTGGCTGGGAGCCTGGCCCACCAACTCGCGCATGCAGCGGTGTGCTCAGTGTGTGCTGGGATGCGAAGATAGCCGCGACTCGGTCGACCACTATCTGGGGTCGTGTCGTCGGCTCCACTGGCTGGCCTCTTTGGCCTGCAGGACCCCGCTGCCAGCTAAGTGTAGGTTCAGGCTCGGTCTTCTCGGGTCGCCAGCTTTCTGTGTTTATCTATATCACTCGTACCGTTTGGCTGTGCACCGCGGGATCGGCTCTGACCCTGTCCGTGCTATGTCCATTATTCAGGCCATTCGAGTGTCGGTGCGCCTCCCGACAAGGGGGCGCCAGCGGCGGCTCCTCGACCCCCAGGCCCTCCACAACAGCGTGGTGGAGGCGCGAGGGGGGGAGTCAGAGTAGTGTGAGACGTGGGGCTCCTTCGGCTACGCTCCCCCTCCCTCCTCCCTCCTCCCTCCTCCTCCCTCCTCCTCCTCCTCCTCCTCCTCCCTCCTCTCTCCACCTCCTCCTCCTCCTCCTGCCTGCCCCTCCCTCCTTTCCTCCTCCTCCTCCTCCTTACTCCTTCCTCCTCTCTCATCCTTCCCCCTCCCCCCTCCCCTCTCTTCCCCTCCCTTTTCCTCACTCCCCTCCCATTCCTCCTGCTTCCTCCCCCCTCCCCTCCCCTCCTCCCCTCCTCGCCCTTCCCCCTCCTCCTCCTTTTTCGCTCCTCCTCCTCCTCCTTCCTTCCTCCTCCTCCCTCCTCCTCCTCCTCCTCCTCCTCCTCCTCCTCCTCCTCCTCCTCCTCCTCCTCCCTCCGTCTAACAACCTGCCTCCCTCCTTCCCTCCTCCCTTCCTTCCCCTGCCTACTCCCCCATCCCCCTTCCCTCCTCCCTCCTTCCGCCTTCCCATCTCCATCGCTTCCCTCCATGCCTCCCTCCTTCTCCTCCCTCCTCCTCCTCTCCCTCCCTCCTCCCTCCTCCCTCCTCCCTCCCTCGTTCCTCTTCCTCTTCCTCTTCCTCCATTCTCTCCTGCCCTCCGCCCTCCTCTTCCTCCTTTCCTTCACTCCTCCTCCTCCCCTCCTCCTCCTCCCATCCTTCTCCTCCTCTTCCTCCCTCCTCCTCCCTCCTCCTCCTCTTCCTCCCTCCTCTTTCTCCTCCCTCCTCCCTCCTCCCTCCTCGTCGGTCTTTTGCAGCGTGAGGTTCTCGCCTCAGCGCCGCGCACGTGTGTGTTAATTCATAGCTTGCAGCAGCGATGGAGGCCGGGTCCTTTTTTGAAATTGTGGTTTTCGCTTCAGCGCCGCGCACATTGTTCTGAACAGTTGCAACCGTTTCAAGAATGCAGTGCGGGTCGTCTTCAAAATGGGGTTCTCGCCTTAGCGCCGCGCGCGTTCGTTTGACAGAAATGCTACAGTTTCTAGGAGTCGGAATTGAGATCTTTGAAATGGTGTTGCGGCGCGATTTAATATTGCCGCTGCCCCTCAGTCGCGTTGATTCACGGTGTTGAAGTCCCAGGAGTTCTGTCCTGACGCGATTTAGAACTGTCAGGACGCACCAGTCACGTTGATTCGCGGTTCTGAAATTCCAGGAGTTGTACGTTGGCACGATTGAGGATGCTCATACGATTGTATTTCACTGGGGCATGCACCGCAGCGAACAGAGACTCTTCTGGGTACCTGTGAAGAAGTAACTTGGGGGGGATGGTTTAATGCAACATCGTTGATGCATCTTGGGTTTACAGTGGCCGTCCTCCTCCTCCTCCTCCTCCTCCTCCTCCTCCTCCTTGTCCTTCCCCTCCTCCTCCCCGCACCCCTTTCCTTTTCCATGTCCTCCTTCTGGGGTCGCGCGGTTCCTCCCTCCCTTCCTCCCGCACTGCCCTCGGGGTGACTTGCCATCGATCTCCGGAGGAGTGGAGCAGCAAAGGGGCGGCGGAGCGCCGCGTCGCGCACCGCCCCGCCCCGGCCGCCAACCAGGTCAAGACGAATTTGGCGCGGTTCACCGATGGCGACAGGCTGTGAGGACCCGCTGTCTCGCTGCCCTCCTCGCTGCTTCGCCGCCCTCCTCCGCCTCCACGCTGCCTCCTGCCCCCTCCTCCCTCCCTTCTCCCTCCCCCTCCCCCTCTTTTTCTCCCCCTTCCCTGCCCTACGACCTGATCCCCTTCACCCTCCTCATTCTCCCCCTCCTCCTCCTCCTCTCCTCCTCGCTTGCCTCCTCGCTCCTCGCTCCTCCTCCTCCTCCTCCTCCTCCTCCTCCTCCTCCTCCTCTACCTTTCCTCCTCCTCCTCCTCCTTCCTAAGCATTTTGGCTCAGATGCTAGTTTCCTCAGGGAACAAGTGGATTCCGCTAGTGCGGCCGTGCCAGGGCTGTTCAGCCGACGTTTTTCTCTCGGACCTGTACGGGGAGCTGCCTCGCTGCCTCCAGAGTCTGTCAGCACGGACGCGATTGCCAGCTGTCGCAGGAGATCGGCATCGGTTGGCAGCGTCAGTGTGGGAACTGGGTGTTCGACTTTCGTATCAAGAAGAATGGAGGCATGTGCGGTGTCTGTTGGTCGCCCATCGACGTCTCCAAGCCCAAGAGTGGTGGTATGCAGGGCGATGGGCCTCCATGGCGCGATGGGCCTCAGCATGGGCGACCTAGGCAAGCTCTCGACACGTCGGCGCTCCTTGCGATGCAGGCGTCGTGCCCTGCCTTCAAGTCCGACCCCACGGCCATCGAGAAGTTGCAGTCTCAGAACTCCCAGTACCAGGAGAGCTTGGCCAAGCCGAAGGAGCCGCATGGTGAGGTTCAGCAGCTCTACCGCACGATGGAGCAGAAGCGTGCGGCCATGGAGTCGGCAGCGGAGCGAGCCACGGAGCTTCAGCAAGCTTTGGAACGCGCCAACGCCGACGTCGCCATGGCTTCTCAGATGTTCCTGGAGGCTGAGGCCAAGCACAAGTCTGCGGTCAAGAGGCTTGCGCAGCAGGCCGAGGTGTCTACGCAGAAGGAAGGATATGCCTCTGACGGCAAGCGCATTCTCTTCGCCTTCGATGAGTCCCTCTTTTCGGACATATCGGGTATCGACGGTGAGGCGCAGGCGCAACTCGCACAGATTGAAGCAGATATCAAGGCTAAGGTTGAAGAGGTTGCCAAGCTGCAGGCGACGGTCCAGGAGGC